TGGAAATGCTGTGCAAACTAAGAAGCATAGTTTGTGGATGGTAAATCTTAAGCCCTGGACTGTCAATATTGGAAAGTTTATAGTCAAGACTTCGCAGCTTCATATCGCTGGAATAAACTCTCACAAACTGCATCGGGTCATGGGAAAATTTCTCACTCTCACACACACTCACGGAAAATCTTCGGCAAGATATACGGGCAAAGGGAGAAAATGCCAAGTACACACATCAAAATATAAATCCGCTTTCTACAAACTTTTCCTCTCTCTCTCACCCTACGACAGGCGAAACCCGGTGAAACACCACATATAGATAGAAGGATTCCCATCCTGAATGGAATCACCAGCGAAACACTCTCCATGATCCTGGTTACAAAAGTGAAGGATTGGAGCGCAAAAAGACTTAAAAATGCTGAACATTGTGGAAAAATTTTCATCTTAAAGCTTGTGCCATCAGCCCTTTTCTCGCCTCTTGAGAATCACCATGGAAGAAAAGTTCCGCCACTGAATGAGGGAGTGTATTTTTACCACATATAAGAAGCTTTTTGCATCTCAACTTCTGCATATAACACTCACTTATTGACGTAATACAGATAGAAAATTGCCTCAGGAGCGTATGCATGGAAAATTGCAAAATTAAATTGAGGCTTTCCGCAAAGTGCAAGAACTCATATAAATACCGGAAAATACTATATATAGTTCAATGGAAACCAGTGGGAAGACAATAAAGTACACCCCAAGGATTGGATTACAATGGCAATTTGTGCTCTCCTGGAGAATAACATCGTCTTTTCAATATTTCATTTTTAATTTTTCATCCACTACACATCGCGAAAATAAACGTCAGCACGTGTTTTTCCCACTCACACCCCCAATTCGCCCACTGCAAACATAATTTATTTTTCAAGAGAGAGCTGAAAACTGAAGGGAAAAATCAAAATATAAGACATGACATTGAGTGACAGTGATAAAATAGCATCTGTGCAATTATGCTACTTTTTCATCCATCTCCAACAACAACACTTTTTTCCCATGATTCCTAACATGTTCGGTGTGAATATTAATTATATTTCTGCGACAGTGGAAAAAAATTGACTTTGAATATGAGAAATGAATGGCAGGAAAAATAACAAGAGTCCAGAATCAATCACTATATTTGACAGAATGGGAGCATAAGAGAACTTTTCACCACTTCTGATGAATGCATTTTCCCAGATAAAAGGCTTGAAAGATATATAACAAAAACTTTTTTACATATTTTTTTTTTAAACATGACTTAAACTAAAAACAGCCTACTCTCCATTATAATGCTAACTTTCCATTAGGCTTGAAAGATTTCCCTCTCTGGTGACAGAGAAAATTGTCACAGTGCCGGGAAATTGCAAGTAAATGGCAAAATCCACTTTACAACGATTGCTCTTACACTTCTCTTCCTGCGTTTCTACCCTCAACTCCGCGCCAACCCCCCTCCTGAGAGAGCCTGTGCGCTTTTTTGTCGAAGTCTCACACAGAGAGCTTTCAATACTCAACCGAGGACATTTATAACCTCCCCAAACTCAGCGCGTCCGCCCCATGCTTCGATCTCATTGTGCATTTTATTAGCTCTTGTATTTGCCAACAACCCTTATTGAATTTCTGTTCGACTCAATTTAATTTCCAATACACAACAAGCGCAACGACGACGCCAAGCGACGACGTCGACGATGAGTACAAAAAAAACGCATCTCCTATGATTAATTCTGCCGCCTGTTCATCGCATGTAATCCTGGTTGTCGCCTCATGCCATGCAAAACCCACCATTCACCGCACATAGGCCTGGTTATTGACCCACAGTCGAGGGCGTGAGGGTTGTGGAGCTGAGGTGGAATTGCTGCCTAATTACATAGATATTTGTACACACATCGGCAAACTATTACAGCAGTTCCAGATAGTCAGTTCCATGCAAACACACTGCCAAATATAAATTTGATTGCAAATGTAACTAATATCAATATCACTTGGATCTTGTCGAGCTTTAATGCCCAATTTACTGGGCATCAAATTCGCAATATTGATACTTTCAAGCCAATTCAATCCATTCACATCGTCACGTTTGAGGTTGGTTTGTTATTAAGACATAATTTCAAAAATAATTTTGAGAAAAGCAAGTGAATTCAATCCCTTTTCCAAACATCTCAACTAAACACACAAAGCCACAATTAGTTCTTTAGCCAAATCCTTAATTAGATTTCAACAAATTTTATTTAGATTTGCATTCAATTCCTCAAGGCACGAAAAACTCACACAATTGCTCCACATTTGCAAGATATACAGAGACCTTGTGAGAATAATTTCAAAACCAATAATTAATATTTCTCATCACGTTTAATAAACACAACCACTCACATACATATCAATTGCTTGTGTCAACGTGTCAGGAATATCACCATCATCATCTCGTCGTTTCGTGATGACGATGGTTGAAACTCATCTCGAATGTGTTATTCAATATTAATATTATTTTGTCTCTATCGGACTATAATTTATTGCTCATATATTTGCTGTTAGACGACAAATCTTGCTCTGCCTTCCATCTTTCCCCGTGATATCACACACTCGTGTGACATAACAGGAGACAACTCACCGATGTAATGTATAAATTAATTAATTAGTGGGGGCATTTCAGATAATTTCACCACCATGTCCAGTCAGTTGTGTACGTTGAGCTTCTCTATAGCACACGTGATGGGCGAGCAGGTGTCGCCAAAATGGGGATACAATAAGGCGGAAGGTGGTCAATTTGCCAGGCATGACATTCCGCTCTTCGAGGAATCGGCATTCCTCGCCAAATCAAATATTTCATTAATTTCCATTGACTTAGACCCCCACATCATTGAACGCCACAGAGCGAGAATCTCAGTGAATCACTTCCGAGATCATTCGCACAAATCATTTCAGGATGAATTGAGCCCCACTTCGATGTTACCATCTCACAATTACTGCACAATTCATTCATGATTATAACCACCAATAAATTTCCCTGCATTTACAGTTCAATGGAACGGAGTCTCAGTGTGAATAGGAGCAGGAAAAAAAAGTAACGATCATGAGAAGAAAATGGGTTCAACTTTGAGAATTAAATCCTCTCTTTCTCTCTCTCTTACCCTCGAGCTTTTGCCTCGTCATCTCCTCGCGAGGAGTGTTCCGAGGGTGCATGGGAAAAGACATAAAAAGAGGAAAAACTTCGTGCCGGAAACGGTAAAAGTTAAATTAAACATTATACACTTTTACTGTAACATCGATTCGACTTTTTATTTCACTTTTCGACCCATCTCTCCTTTCCCCCCGAAAAAAAGGAGACACACGAAGAGCCACTGCGAAAAACAGTGGATGAAAAACTCTCCATGAGAAAAGGAAATAATGATACAACAATAAAATTCTCCTTTTAACGCCTTTTCGTGGGTCATTTCTGTGCAGGAAATTCTCTCTCTCTCTCTCAATGACGAAAGCTAGCTGAATAGACTTCTAGCTTAACATAAATATAAATCTAGTCATTTAGCACAAGTTACCACATTAAATATTAGTATAAGCGTGAAATTTTTATTACTTTCTCGCTTCTACTTCACCATGAAAATTAATTTAATCATAAAAAAGAACAGCGCTTCGTTATAGTTTCATAATAAACTCTGACTCAACTATATACGATGAATTCAATAAGTTTTCTTCTACTATCATTTCCAAATCATTTCACTTCCCTAATTTGAGAAGATGGGAAAACAAGTAAAATTATTATTCCCAGGTAATAATTGGTCCAATTGATTTTTGGCCTGCAGAAAAGTTTTCCTGCATTTCCTGCCAAAGTCCAAACACCGTGGAAAACTTCTCCCCTCAATGCCCCACAAATTCACCCCAGATTTTGCCCAATTTACCTTCTCCACCCCAAAAACCCAGCACCACCACCTCCCCACCGAAAAGTGCTCACACACGCACGAAGGGAAATGTCCACAAGAAATCTTTCGGGTAGCGAATAAAAAGGACAATGTGTGGAAATCTCACTTGGTGGACGACAAGCAGGAGAAAGTGCGTATTGAGGGTGTAAAACTGTGAAGAACCACCACATAATAACACCCTTTTATTCACCGTCCATGGCTTGATTCTTCGCCACTTTCCCCCTTCGGACCAGCAGAAGGTTTGCGATGGACATTGGGAGTGAAGGGACGTGGGTTATCCGTGCTAAATGGTTAGGAACTATTGATTTCTGATTTAATACGCTCTTCCTTCGGCCGTGAGGCCCCAAAAGTATCGCTCTCTCTCTCTCTCTTCTCCTGATCGGGCAACCCTCCCTCTCCCGGAAAGGCGGCAAAAAGGATCAAGTATCCCCCATTCGCTTGATTTCTTCGCATCCTCGTGTCTCAGGGGTTTATATCTTAAGATGGTCCACCATTGGGATATTGTGTATCGAATGACCCCCAATAAAATATATCCGCCTCTGAGAAGGAAAAAATAGCACATAAAAAATTTACGAGAAGAAAATCTCTCCCGCACATGAGATTTCTTTCCACCACCACCACCACCCTTCGGCATGTGGGATCCAATGATAGATAGGCATAGTGCGAAATCACAGAGCATCCTAAACAGAAATGTGAGACGCATAATGCTTGAGATAATGTATCAAAATCAAACGAAATTTAATAAATTTAAGAATATAAGAGTGAATTTCACACAGAAAAATATCAATTACATAATATTGATGAATAAACAGAATTGTAAGAAGTGTTAAATGACACAAGACTGCCAATTTGTGACACATTACAAGAAGCCGCAGAGCAATTGGGAAATGGTCGAATATTTTCACGGTATTGACATCGATTGACTCCCTTTTTCAGTGCAGTGCTCCCCAATCAATTTGTGTGAGCACAGAAAGAATGACACGGGACTTTACACAGAAAAGACATTCTTCTCCGCCTAATATTGATCGCTTGTGAAAAAAGTGGTGAAAAAAAGTACAAAATAGATTCACGTACCTTCTTGTCTGGCTGCCAGGCACGTCTCCATCGTCGCCATGAGACACAGAATTCCACAGAGAGTCACTTTGGCCACACTCCTGTTCCATCGAGCACCTTTTGGTCCGAGCATTGAAGTGTGAGCCACCACATGGGGTGGCTTTGAGTTATTTCGCCTCGATGGCCTCATGTGCAGTTCATCCACCATGTGACAATGGGCTCTTGAGCGGTGGATGGTGACACTTCTTGAAGCCACTCCCGTGCTTGCTACACCTTCACGATGACGACTCTGCGAAATAGAAATTGCATCGTCAATTGACATCCATCCAATATGTTGCGATCCAACTCCCACTAATTGCACACATTCACTCGCAAATTGGGGAAATCACTCAAGGGCTCCAGAGTATTACACCTCAAATGCCGTTGCCAATTGTGGGTCAGTCACACTGCAACTTCTCGTCGACTGGCATCAGTCACACAAGTGATTCGGCAAATTGTAAGGTACAAGTGTAATTGCTACGCTATCCGGGACATTTCCATCCAGGATTGGCAAAACAAATCAGCGTAATTCCAGCAAACTGACACGTTTAGCTATTTTCAATAGAGAAAAACGTCAACATCAACCCAGATTCTCTGTCGAAATCACTGGTATAATCAAATTTATGGTCTCCACTGATTTCGAAGAATTTCATGGAAAATTCTGGAATGTGGATCACATTTTTTTTTACCTCTTCTTCTTAATGCTTCACAGTGATCTCAGAATCTTCCCAATTTAAATGCAAAGACATTTATCAAAGTGATTCTTTATAGAAGATAAGGTCCACGAAAAAAACAGAGCAAAAGACCACTGAGCAAAGCGAAGGCAAAAGAGAAAAATGAGCGGAAACAAATCGATTGCAAGAAGAGATTCTCTCAAACACGAGAAGGTTTATGCAGAAAAGTGTGTCGTCAATAAAGGAATTATCGTGATTTGCAATAAATGTTTGGCGGACAAAATATCGTGATTACAGTCAGTGATTCTTCCTTCTTGTTTGTTTAACTTGTCGGCGCGTCATTCAATAAAGAGTCGCGGCCCCGTTGTTGGCCTGTGACGACACGGTGGAAGAAATCATCAAGGAATGATTGCAAGAGTGCAGGCAAAAAAGTACGTGTTCTTCGGCGAATGACACGAAGAAGAAAAAAAGGAGGGAGAAGGCTAAGATTGTTAAGCGCGACATCGCGCCGCTACCTTTTGAGCCACGACCGTGGCAACAGAAGCCCCAAGATCACAGGATGGGATCGAGAGAACAGTTGGACACAGAAGAGAGGAGAGCACAAAGAAGATCACTTTTTTCTCCCTCCGCGCCAGAGCGAGACTTGTACGAAGAGCGACTCTTGTCTTTTTTTTCTTTACATCAACTCTCTGACTCTCATACCTGTCAGATTAACAAGCAATAATAATCACTTGCTTGCAGGGAGTCCCATTTGATTTACCTCGGCACTGCTCTCGCTCTGTCGCGGGACGTTTTTTGTATTTGAAGATAGCGCGCCTCTAAATCCAAAGTATTTAATCGATTTGTGTTCGATTGGATTGTAATTAAAATTGCAAATTTCTCCAGATTATCTCCATTAGCTCCTAGAGTAATATTGTAAATAAAATTTGACTATCTAATGGAGCATCAATGGATTTGAGTTTCAATTCAAATGGGCTCTGGATTAGACTGTGGATCTGAATTTGTATGTTTAATACATTGTGACGTGCTCTCACTGGCAGATTTAATTAATTCAAACTATTTTTTATTTTTCCTAAGTTAATTACTCGGAAAAACTCGTTCAAAAATTGACAATTTCTATTTCTTTGATCACATTTAGCAGTAATTAAATTAATTCCACAATATAATTCGTCATACTCACTTCAAATGCAATATTCCGATATTCATTGCAAATGTATTCAAATACTCTTCCCCAACTAATTAAATATATCAGCAACTGAAGAGACAAATCCACTAGAATACCTTTTCCAAATTGAGATTTAAATGAAAATATTTTCCAAAACTCTATCAATGAGTGTTTTCAATTCACAGATGCACTCACTCCAAATGGATCGGAACATTTTTCCTGCCAGCCACATGTTTATTAAAATCCTATTCTCCCGACAAGGGGTGAAAGTGCAGCGGGTGGTCGTTTTTCATGCATCACTTTTATACTATATGTATGTTTGTTGCGCAATATTGATTTGGGGAGGGTAAAAGTTTTTAATCAAATGAAATCGTTTGTGATTTTTGTCTATATATTTTTGTCCCATTTCACCATTTCCATCGGCCTCGTGATGGCTTGAAAACGTATTAAAATCAACCCTGATGTATCCTTTTTCGCCCATATCTGATTGATTGATGAATGCACTGAGTGCAACTTGTGCTGATTTTATAATTCTATTTCCGCCCTTGTGTCTCTCTGTCTCTCTCTTAATAACATTAAAAGCTCGAGTGGGTCTGCGGCGTATGTGAGACGAATCGCTGAGGGAGGAGGAAGGGGTGGTGAGTGAATGGAATCCCAGCTTTTACAAAGTATCCAATTAAAACAGATCAAAACTTAAGTCGTAACTGGGAATATAAAGTGTTTAGAATGGTGAACGGGGTGGAAGGTATATTGCCGGGGAATTCTGTGGGATTCCCTTTGTACGATTGTCGTCTCCACTATTTGCCATATAGATTTCTCCTTCTGTGCGCCATATCACCCCAGAGTCGACACCAAAAGGACTCTCCACTAGCAGCGTCCGTAATACCTGGGGTATTAGCAACACACAACTTTCCCTATATAATCGCTCATTACAAATTGTATGCATAGAAGTGTCTTCAAATTCGAGAATTTTCTCAATCTCCACACCCATTAATATGGCAATTATGGAAATTGAATAGAGGATATTGTGTGGCGAATCCTCAAAATTCTCCTAATTAGACGAATGTGCTTCAGCGATAACAGGTGACACAACTTCTCCTCCAACTGTCGTTGGAAAACACCAAATGCTCTCTCTCTCTCTCGATTTCCCCAATTAAAGCACCCCTCAACTGCAGAACCGATGAATTCTGATGAGACATCAGCAACCCGAACAAGTCACTCAACAATGAACAGACCCAAAAATTCACTCCATTCAACTAAAGCCGAACAATGAGATTGAATTTTGAGAAAATTGCTCAACACTTGACAATCATTCACACACTCTAGAAGATTGGACTCTTTTTTTCCTTCTCGCCTTGTGCCGCAGAAGAGAAACTTTTGGGGCTTTTTTTATTGCATTTTTATTATATGGTTTTTTTCTTCTTCTTCTTCTCTCTCTCTCTCTCAACCAGGGGCTGAAAGGGTGGCAAAAAGGAGATGTTCTCTGAAGAATATTGACTTCATATGTGGGCATTTTGTGTATGCTTTTGGCCCAAAGAGCGGAACATATAAAGTAAAATAAAATGGAATGAATAGAATGATGGCAGGCAGAGAAAAAAAATCAAGTCCAACTTATATACACCACATGTCGCCTCTAATAATTCCACTCTGTACTCCACTGCCATATTTATATCTCACGAGAGAGTCTCTCTCTCTCTCTCTCCATGCACACACAATGATGACGGGGAAGAAAAAATTGGCAAATGGAATTCCTTGGGGTCGTGGAGGCAGAAAAAGCACACCACCAAAGCTATACGGCACGCGTAATATTGCAATAATATTCTCCTCCCCCAACCCAAATCGATAGAAGTGCCATCATGAGACTCTCCACCTCACCGACGTCATCCAATTCTTTCCGCTCGCCTCCGGCGGCTTCGGGATCAAAAAGCCAATTATTGGATTCATGTGGATCAGTGTGGGCTGAAGTGGACATTCTCTGGCTCACTGGAAACTTGTGGGGGTGTATTATTAATTTTCAATTGATAAAACTTTCCACTGAATCAATGCACACTTCCTGGGGCCCACATGATTTACGGAAAAACTTTCTTTCACTGTGCGATAATGTCCTCAGAACTTTGATAGTTTTGAATTTTAAATTTCCCTCAAATATGTTTATTGAATTGATTGGTCAATAGACATTATTTGGGATTCACTTCATCATCTTCTTCCCTTTTAATTATAAATAAATAAATTTGAACAAACCTCTGACTTGTATTTTATATTTTATATAATTTCAACAACTCTTCAATTGTGTTATAAACACAATAACAACTCTTCCTATAAGTGCTGCACTCGATGTTCATCCCAAGAAGGATAATTAAGAATTAAAATCGACAGCAATCTTGTCAATAAAGATGCTGCGGATGAAAAAAAAACTTTTAATTTTCCAAGATTACTCTAATAGTTTCCTCTCCATCGTCCCAAGCCCCCGATGAGTGGGCGGACAAAAAGAGGCACAAGGAGTGAAGTATTGTAAGTTGCCATAAATTAATTAAGTGCCCCGCGTGCGCTTAAGTCCCCTTATTTATGCATGTAACAGGGCGTCGGATCCACCCTCCATCGCAGCACAGTGGAGAGCTTTTTTTTCCACCCTCCCAAGCGAAAGCTCCGAAGCTTCGCGGCGCACACGCCATCAGGAGACGTTCTCTCTCTCTCTCCTCGTCGTTATTAGTTAATGAGGAATTTGGTGTGGGAAACCATTTAAGACGGGGCGCCGCGGAGAGAGAGAGAGAAAAAAAAAATAGAAAGGAATCGAGGGTGGAAGAAATATTTCCTCAAAAGGCCGCCCTTGGCGCGGTGGAATGAAAATCTATGGGACATGCACATAATTGCGGGTGAAAAATGAATGGACGTCATTTGTGTGTTCTTCCGCATTTTCTCAGAATACGCGTGCTCCTTTTCCTTCCCATTTCTTTGCATAACCAATTTATTTCTGTCACATTTTCCTTCACACTGCGTCAGATGATTTTTCTGCCAACCCGACTTTCGTCTCCCCTTATTTAATGGCAATTTCCCTCCCTCCCCAAGAGGTCACTGGATATTGACGATGTCAAAGAAATTGCAAGGCTAATATTTATTGACGTTTCCCGAAAGATTCAACGGAAAAAAATTATTCTGATAAAAAGCACAAGATTCGTGGCGTCTTGGCCACTGAGAAATGGTTTCCAGAAGAAGAAGAAGGTCAAGTTTGTGGTCATAATTTTTCCTCCACTTCCCGCCTCATACATTGTCTTCACGCGGAAATAGTGGAGGCACTCTGGAGCAGGGAATTATTCAAATTAGTCAGACAGTATTTTAATTTAATGGTCACCAAAACATATATTCACTCTCGAGGGCGCCCACGTGTGACATGGCATTTTAGCATATTACCAT